CAAGGATGAAAAGGTGAACCTTATAAAACCTTTTAACTCTAGAAGTTTCATTTAAGGATTCACTTAAATCTTTTAGTATATGTTATCTTATACCTGTGAGTACATAATAAATATCATTTGATAGTAGTATTGAAATTAATATCTGTTCTTTATCAGACTTTAAAATTACTTTAAGATGCATAGAAATGAAAGTACTCAGTTATTTTCAATAGTATCTGAGGTTGAATAGAACCTGACATTTAAATTATTATGCTGAATATTGCTAGATACAGTCCTGTGGACTTCCTACCATAATTATTTGTTAGGATTTGCCGAGGACTGCTTATACCTGAAGGTAACACATACTTGAGTGGTAACTTCTAGTCAACATTAAAAAGGAATTTATGATCTTTATAAAACTTATTTGAGAACCAAGCATTGTTAAAGTTCTGTGTGGATTTATATGCTACCCTATTACTACTTTTTAAAAAGCTTGTTGAAAACTGAAACATACACAAAAATAGAGGAAATTGTATGAAGAGAGTTGTATGAAGCTGGGTAAACTGCATATCACCTGTGAATTATCAACTCGTGACCAACTTTGTTTTCTCTATATTCCTCCCCCTAATTCTTGGATTATTTTGAAACAAACCCAAAATATCATTTCATTTCATCCATAAGTATTTCAATTATGTATCTTTGAAAGATAAGTATCTTTAAAAACATAATTCTAATACCATTTATAGTTTCAAATAGCTAGTCAGTGTTCAAATTTTCCTACTTCTGAAAATTCTTTTCATAGTGTGTTTGTTGAAATAGGTTCTAAATATAACTATATATTACAATTGGTTGATATATTTCAAGGGTTTCTTGATATATTGTTCTCCATTCTCATTTTTCCCCTTTCAAAATATTTATTGAAGAAATTAAATTATCTTTGTAGTGCTTCTCACAGTCTGGATTTTGCCAGCTTCATACACATGCTTATTAGCAGATTTCCTTTTGCCTGTATTTTCTATAAACGTATAGTTAGATTTAAAGGCTTGATCAGGTTTAAGTTTTTCTTAGAAATCATATATCTGATTGCCTCTTTTTATGATATTAGCAGCCATTTGATGATCATTGCCTAGATTTATCATCTCATTGTGGTTGCAAGTCATGATATTCTAATTCTAAACTTCCATATTCATTTTTTAAAGGAATATTTCTGTAAAGCCATATTTCTCCATAATAATTATTTGGTAATTCTGAAGGACAGTTCTTACAAGGATAGGCAAGATAAATTCTAGGTTCTTTTCCTTTATCTGGTAGTTTTTGAAATAATGAATTGAAAATCTAGCATCTTCCAAGTGTTTTATAAGCACATGGTTTTATATGTGTTTGAAGTATTACATTTTTTTTCTTTTTTAAAACTTTATTGGCTGTGCTGAGTCTTTGTTACTGAGTGGGCTTTCTCTAGTTGTGAGTGGGTACTGCTCTTCGTTGTGGTATGTGAGCTTCTCGTGGTGGCTTCTCTTTTGAAGCACAGGATCTAGGACTCATGGGCTTCAGTAGCTGTTGCTCCCAGGCTCTAGAGCACAGGCTCATAGTTGTGGCTTATGAGCTTAGTTCCTCTGTGGCCTGTGGGATCCTCCTGGATCAGGGATTAAACCCGTGTCTCCTACGTTGGGAGAAGGGTCCTTTACCACTGAGACACCAGGGAAGCCCCAAGTCTTTTGCTTTTAAAAATTTTCATTGGTATTCATTTTGTTCTTTTATAGGAACTTCCTCAAATCCTTTTGATTCTTTGAGTAGTTGTTGATGGTTTTCTTACTTCATGTTATGATGGGATATTCATGTTGTACTTTTTCTGTTCCAGATTTGCAAATTGCCATTTCTCTAAGGAGCCCTAGTTTCTTTTAGTAGGAAATAGTACTTAGAAATTATAGTCTAGGTGTTCCTTGTAGCAAGGTGTTCCTTGCTACACCTCTGGTCAAAGGCTGATTGGTCATGATTTCCAAGCCTTTTTAGTGGGTAGAGCTAGAAAATAAAATATCCTTTTTTTAAAGAAAACATATGAGTTTGTTCCAGGAATGTTCCAGGATAGTTCCACTGTATACTGATACATTTAGGACTGTAGAGTTTTTGTTTCTTCAATTTTGCATATATATTTACCTTTCCAGCAGGCTGAAAACTGTGCTTCCTAATGATACCAATGTAATTACTCATTTGTCTTATCCAACAGTATATATAGAATTGGGCTTCCCAGGTGATGCTAGTGGTAAAGAACCCGCCTGCCAATGTAGGAGATGTAAGAATCGCAGGTTTGATCCATGAGTTGGGAAGATCCCCTGGAGGAGGGCATGGCAACCCACTCTGGTATTCTTGTCTGGAGAATCCCATGGACAGAGGAGCCTGGAGGGCTACGGTCCATAGGGTCACAGAGCCGGACATGACTGAAGTGACTTAGCACACACATACATTGAGTGCTGTCAGAACTAACAATATTATTACTACAAACACATAGGATTTCTTTTTCTTTTTCTTAAGGTGTTTCCCTTGTGGGATGAATGGATAAATTGCTATGTTTTAAAGTCACTTGAAATAATTTCCTCTTTTGTAGATTTGCCTCTAGTTTGATACATAGTTAAATTCGTTTATTTCATTTGCTTTTGATATTTAAGGGTTGCTGTTTTTAGGTATAACAGTGTTTTACAACTATGTTAAGCGGTTACATGGTTCCAAAGTCAACTCTATGAAAAAGGAGATAATTCAGAGAAATTTAACTTCTGACTTGATCCCCTTCCTCTCTATCTACTCCTGTTAAGTCATCATTTTAAAAAGTTTTAGTTTATATTTATCCATCTAGCTGTCCTTCATCTTAGATAAGCGATTGCATACTGTACATAGTTTTCTCCACCTTACTGTTTTTACCTTACATATACCCTGTAGATCATGCTATAGTACACATTCTCAATGGAGAATATCACCTCAGGGAGGGGAAATTGGTTCTTGAAGGGTGAAAAAAAAGTCTTGAATTTTACAATGGTTTGTTGTGCTCCAAAGGCCATGGTACCTAAACGGATATACAGTATATCTGTGATATTAAAATTTCATGGGGGATGATTAGGAATAAAAATGTCTAAAAGGATGTTTTGGGGAGGCAATAATAACAAAAAGGTTGAGAAACTACTCTGTAGCAGTATATAGTATATTAATTGCAGGTTAATAGGGTCTTGCACGGAGAAGGCAATGGCAACCCACTCCACTACTCTTGCTTGGAAAATCTCATGGACGGAGGAGCCTGGTAGTCTGCAGTCCATGGGGTCGCATGACTGAGCGACTTCACTTTTACTTTTCACTTTCATGCTTTGGGGGAGGAAATGGCAACCCACTCCAGTGTTCTTGCCTGGAGAATCCCAGGGACGGTTGGGCCTGGTAGGCTGCTGTCTGTGGGGTTGCACAGAGTCGGACACAACTGAAGTGACTTAGCAGCAGCAGGGTCTTGCAAGTTGTATTTTGCAGATATATAGGGTCTGTTATGATATAACCAGCCTTCTGCTCATCAGCATTTAGGTTGTTTCCATTCCTTTGCCATTATCAACAGTGCTGCAATGAATGTACATTCTTTTGTATTTTTACCTATATATTTTTGAGACAGATTCTGAAAGTGAGATTCTTAGGTCAAAGGCTAATTGCCTATGTAATTTTGCAGTACACTATCAAATTCCTTTTATGGTAGTATTTTAGTTGATATTAGTGGATATGTTCTAAATTAGTTCATTATGAGATGTCACCATTTATGAGAACCTTATTAGACTTCTAATTAGCTGTAAGAAATATAATTTTCATATTATAAAATGCAAATTTATATTATTTCACTTATAATACTTTTTCAAATTATCACTATACTACTTACCGTATGTTGTTCATAAACGAAAAGCAGTGGATCTGTCTAAAAGGCTACATGCTTTAGACTAAGTTTTTTAAATGTGTTGTATCTATCTGGTCAGAGTCAGGACAGTTGCTAATGTTGAGTTTGTTTTTCAAGTAAATGTAGCATAAGATTTTAAAATGTTTTTTATTTAATTATAAATGTTTAAATTTAAGAGAAATTTCACTTAAGTTTTGAAATGGTTTGTACCAATTAGACTACCTGGTTTTTTTCAACCCATTGTTTTCATGAAACTATTCAATTGTATGGCAAAAACCCCTTTGGATATGAAGATATTCATCCTTAGTTCCCTTCAGAGCAGGGATTAACTACATGGAACCCTTCTTGTCATTTGGACCATATGTGTTTTTTCCAAGGAAAAGGTTCCACATTTTTTTAGTAATACTTCCCCTTATCACCCCCAGAACTCTGCTGAAGTTAGAGCCCCTCTCACTTAAACCTTAACTAGGATCTGCAAGTATTAAAGAGATAGGTTAAAAAGGAACATTATATTTTATGAGAACAAGTTCCAGGGATAGATTGTAGCTCAGTATTTTTATTTTTTAATTTTTGTATTCTGATGACTTTCAGTTTAATGGCCTGAGGGATATTGCACAGTAACTCAAACTGATTGTGACAGAGATTAATCGAATCAGTCTCTCCCTATAGTTCTTCAGATATTTATATGTACCCAGAGCAGGGCCTGGTACACAGTATGCGCTTGTATTTATTGCATAAATAAATGACTGAGGAGCTACTGACATTTATATTCAGTAAGTGGTTAATGAGGAAAGGGCTTTAGAATAGCTGATTATTTTGTCTGTGCAAAGAGGACTGAAAAAAAAATCATGAAGTTTTGTAGAACCAGGTTTCCTATAGCATAATTAACTGGTGGTTAAAGATATAAAGGGAAAAATAGAATTTGAGAGACAATGTGAAACTGTCACAGTTATTTTTGTTAAGTTAAAAGACTTCATTTTATTAAAATGTCACCTTCTTGCACAAGTACTATCAGCTAGAAACGTATTGCTGCCTAGTTGGTCCCTTGATCGTGGAATAAATTTGGGTTTTTAGTAAATGAAGGTAACATTTCCCTCTTCCTTTGTAGGCATTTGGGATCACAGCTTTGTGAATTAGAAAAACTGATAGATAAAATGATGATTGCAGAATTTTCTACTTATTCTCACAGTGACTTAAATAGACCATTGGAAGATGACTGTCAAATTTTAGAAGAGGTATGTCCTCTGAATTCTAGAATGAAATTGATCTCATTGCTTAGTGTTATTTCCTAACAGCCTTAGTATAGAACATTCTTCTTAGGTTATAGTGGGCAAAATTATCTTCAAATATCAATCTGTGTGAGACCTATGAAATCTTTCACTATGTGACTTTAGAAAGCACCATACTTTTTTATTAACCTTTGAAATTAGAGAATAAATAATTTTATAGCTTAATTAGAAATGGAAATTAAAGTCTTTATATAGCTTATAACCCAAGTTCCAAATGTGGATATAGGATGATTAACTTATATCCTTGTGTATGCATGTAGTGGAGTATGTCTTATATAAAAAGTGATCATTATTGTATGGTATTTTACCTGTCATTCACATTCACTGAGCACCTGTTAGGAACATGTTTTATGCATGTGCATGCACAAATGCATTATATTTGGTAATTTATCTGGTAACTTCTTAATGCTGATTATTGCCAAGAACTATTAATAGTAAAGAATCCAAAAAGCCCTGATGGCAGCCTAATCAGTTAAAGAGATTTTTGTGTTAGCAGTTAATTTTCCCCAAATAATCCAGGTCATCATTCCAGTGTTGTAGACCACTAATTTAAAAGCCCAGGGCTTATAGAGTATTTATTCGTCATCAGGGTTTGAGAAGAATACTTTCTAGCTTCTTATTGAAACTAGACTAAAATATATTGTTCTGCCCCCAAACCAGCTTCATTTGATCCACTGTAGTAGGATGAGGTTTGCCTGTTTTAGAATAATGACTGCAAAAATCTGATGACAAGATTGCTTTGGAAAGGGGTTTTTAAGGCTTCTAGGAAATACCATATGCAATATAGAGATTTCAGGGTTAAACAATTGATTATTTCTACTTCTAAGTGTCCGTGAGATTATTTTGTACTTAAATTGTGACATTGTATACCCTTTTGTTTTAATAGGAAAGACTAATCTCTCTTGTGTTTGGACTTTTAAAACAAAGAAAACTTAATTTTTTAGAAATATATAGTGAAGAAATGATTATTACAGCAAAGAATATCATTAAACAGGTAATTGTACTTTTTTATTTTATAAATTTTTGGTTTAGAATCTTTTGTGAAGTTTATTTTTACATGATCTTGTAATATATGTGGTATCAATATTTTCTCATTTATTTAAAAATTTTAAATATAGAAAACTGGAACAAAGAAAAATATGGCCCAGCTAGTCAAAAAGATTATCACTTGAGTATTTAAAAGTGTAAGTTGTTACTGGTGTTTTTCATTGGTGCTGTCATACTGTATATATAATTTTGAATTGTACAGATATTTCAGTTTGAATCACAACATAAACATTTCCTTATAAACCTTCAGAAAGATCACTTTTAAAGGTTATATAAAATTCCATCAACATCCTGTTACTTAAACCTGTTTAACCTTTCCTCTGTGTTACATATTTAGGTCATTTTCTGTTTGGTAGTATAAAGATCACTGTGACAAATAACTTTGGTATAAAGTTTTGTTTAGTTTTTTCATATTTAAGACTGTTTTTTTTAATAACTGATTCCTGAAGTAGAATTGTTGGTTAGAGAATGAAAAGTATTCTTAAATTGTTTGATGCATGGAGTTGAATTGCTTTTTTTTTTTTTTTTTTACTAAAAAAGATTTTACCAATAGTTTATACTTTCACCAGTGTTTCTTCTTATCCTGAGCTCTTAGAAATTATCGTTGTAAACTAAAATCTATTGGTTTTTTTTTTTTTTAAGTATTCTCTGATTTTTGTTTTGACTTTTCAAATAAATCTCATTCACTGAACTTTAGTTTTTCTGTATTTGAGAAAGAACAATTTTGAATGTATTTGTTAGGCTTAACTGATCATCATTGTTAGGTTAAATGTACATTTTTTAGTTTTTAGTGTTTAAATAAAACAAGCAAGAACTAAATATACACATATCTTATGACTTAGCATTTCTATTTCTAGGTAAGGTAATTTACCCATCAGAAATTTGTACATAGACCACCAAAACAGCAGAAGCATTTCATGGCAGCATATTTGTAATAAAATTAAAAAAAAAAAACCTGGAAAAACCCAAATTTTTTCACCAGTAGGAAAGGTAAATAAAATTGTAGCATATTTACATCAATGAATACTATAACAGCAATGAGAATGAATAATTACGTGGAACAAACAACATGGATATTCACATACATAATGTGGAGCCAAGGAAGCCAGACACAGAAGAGTACACACTGTATGATTCCACTGACCTAAAAATTCAGACGTGGGCAAAAGTAGTCTATGATGTTAGAAATCAGGATGGTAATGTCTTTGGGGAGGAAGTAGTGACAGGAGGGGAACAAGAGAAGGGATGACTGGTAATGTTCAATTTCATAATCTGAGTTCTCTTTAAATAGGTGTCTTCCACTTGTAAAATAAATATTGAGCTATAAATATAATTTGTTCAGTTTTCTGTATGTATATTTTAAACAGTTTTTAGAAACTGCTGTGTTTTAATTGCTAGACTTCTTCTAAGTCTGAGCATTTATTTTTTTAAGACTTGAAACTTTTGCATGTATTACGAGGAAATGTGACCTCCAAAGTGAATTTCTTTTGGAATTTTAGTATGAGGCTTAAACCATGTTCCTAAGAATTATAGTTCTATGGGGATTTTTTGTGTGCATGTGTTGTGTGTTTGTTTATGTGTATAACTCTGAACAGTTTTAAGTGGTAGGAAATTTTAATTAGTACAGTTTAAGCATTCCCTGTAATAATTATTTAATAGGGTAAGGGTACTGCTGCAATTTGTAAGAGACAAAAGAGAGGTTTGGTAAAATGATTATCATAGTCATTGAGGCACTTATTAATAAACAAATGAACATGTAGTACTTACAATTCTAAAGATGTTAATCAAATTTTTTTCCTTGAATTTTGCAGTGTGTGATTAATAAAGTTTCACAAATAGAAGATATAGACACAGATGTTGTTTTGAAGTAAGTATAAATATTAAGTTGGGGTTACCAGTCAGGGAAAAGATAATACATTAGAATAAGGAGGATTTAGTTAAGGAATTACTTGCTAAAGTGTGGGCAGAGTACAGGAAAATCACAAGTGATAGTGCAGTACCTTTAAGGGATGAAGAGAGCCATTAGTAGAGTTGAGAAGGAGAAAAAAATGTTAAGTAGTTAGAATAATCTTGTAGTAATTGAATTGATGCTCAGTGGGGGGAGCCAGTCATCCTGAGGTAACCACTCCAGGGCAGAGACGGCACTATCAGCACCTTTCCTCCTTTCAGTCTTCTGCAAGGGCTCCTCACTGGCCAAGCCCACAGGTCAGCCTCCCAGGGCTGAGAGAGGGTGGAGATGTACATAGATATGGAGGGTGGAAATTGAAGAAGAACAGTGCTAAATTTGTTTAGCCATATAATTAAAACACAATTAGCTTTGAGAAGTTTGAATGCATGACTTAGAATTGCCCATGTCTGTAATTTTTTGTTTTCCCTTGAAATTCCTGTTCTGATACTTTGAGAAAAATAGTGATAAGTATTTTATGGCTATGAGTTTCTTGTTCATATACATATATAAATTTTAACTGATCTAAGATATGAATAGTAATGTGGACAACTGTAAATCTTCTCTGGGCCAAGTTCATAGAATGAGAATTGTGGAGTTTTAATTTGTACACTTACCTAAGCTCAGGTTCAGAATTAGTTGAAGCAATCCTAATAAAGCAAGGATCACTAGTAGTTGGAAAAATTAAGTTATTGGACTTTTGCTAAAGGTCCTATATACATGGAGAGTCAAGTTTTAATTTTTTTCTTCCATATGGAATTTTCTTAACTTAGAGAACATCCTATATCTCAAATATATAGGAGTACCTTTTGAGACTAAAGTCCTCTAAGTGTAGCATCATTAATTAAAAATTTAGAGTAATAAGTTATTACAGTGCTCTGAAATATCTTTATGGAATTCTGTTTTTTATTTTAAAAATTGATTGATGTCAGCTATAAAAATATTGGCTATACTTCTATGTATTACACTAATATAATATTTGGTGTATGTATATAAAAACATTATAGATATAAATATTGGCTAATACATAGCATTTTTTTATTCACTGTGCATTGTCCTGAGTACTTATTGACTCAATACTCACATCTACCATATGTAGTAGCTTCTATCACTTTTTCCATATGGGCTTCCCTGGTGGCTCAGTGGTAAAGAATCTGCCTGTAATGCAGAAGACGTGAATTCAGTCCCTGGGTTGGGAAGATACCCTGGAGAAGGAAATGGCAACCCACTCCAGTAGTCTTGCCTGGAGAATCCCCATGGACAGAGGAGCCTGGCAGGCTATCGTCCATGGGGTTGGAAAAGAGTTGGACATGACTGAGCGACTTTTACTCACTAAGTCACTTGGCCAGAGTCACACAACTAGTTAAGTGGCAGGGCTGGATCTTGAACCAAGACACTGTGGCTCAAGAGCCCATACTCTTAGCCACTATGCCATGTTACCCTTCATATATAGAAAAGTACTTTTAGTTTGTAGTTAGACAGATAGGTTATTAAATTTTTTTAGGGGAGCTGTTATGTTTCTTATTTTTATTCCAGCATGTCTTTTCCACATTTAACCTAGTTTATTTCTCTATCCCTTTACATGGAATGATCATAAAGCATGTTCATGTGGAATTAATACATGATAAAGATGTCTTAGAGATGTTTCAAAAAGGAGTTGTTTAGTAATTGACTTCTTCATCTCTATTGTATAATTTGAGATTAAAGTGCATTATATTCTTATGTTACTAGATAGTATTCAGTGTAGTTTCCTCCAACTTGTAGATAACATCATACTGGCCCCAAGACAGTCATTATTTTTGTTTGAATTTTTTTTCTAGGCTTGCAGATCAGATGAGAATGTTGAATTTTCCTCAGTGGTTTGATTTACTAACGGATATTTTCTCCAAGTTTACAATTTTCCTACAGAGAGTTAAGGTAAGCTTATGTGATTTATCAGTTTGTCCAGAATATTCCTAAAATTGTTGGCTTTCTAGACACAAAAATTTGAATAAAACAAAATTTTTTATTTTTGCAATTTTTTAAAAGGAGCTTTGTTTTAAGTAAGATTTGAAGTGCTTCAGAGTATTTGGATAACTTTTTTTTAATAATTCTGGATGATTTATTTCATTTTAAAAAGAAATATGCTTACTTGGCATTAAATATTATACAGTAATATTTCCTTTTGTGATTTTGTGATGCTTGAATCTATCTAGATTATCTATAGTTAAAATATTATGAAACACTCAAAAATCTATCCCATAACACTTAATTTTTCTAGGAATTTAATATTAATATTATGCTGATACCATAATATTTTTAACATATGGTTCATATTTACATTATTTCACTAATGTTCTTTATTGCAGGTTTTTATTTCATTTTTAAACCTGGGATCCAATCATGTATCATTCATTACATTTAATTTGTGGTCAAGCCAGTTAATTTTAATCCAATCATTATAAGGAAAAGAACTAATGTCACATAGCATTTTTCAGAGGAAAAGATGTCATAGACTCTAATATATGTTTGTTGGGATTACCAACATGTTATTACTTTTTTAGTAAGACAGTCCCTTAGGAATTACTGAATATAAGAGGCTGTTAGTGAAATGTGATATTCTTTGAATTATTAGGTGTCAATATTGCGTTTATGTTCTAGTCAAGATCCCTGGCACCTCCTGAGTTTCATATTAAAAATGATCTGGGGTACTTAGGTATTTATCTATAAAATGACTTTCTTATTAAAATTGGGATGATGCTCTACATCACATATATAAGCTTTCTGGTTGAAATGGGAAAAGTTTTTATAAAATGTGATTCATTGCATTTAATTTAGACTTCTTCCAAAATGTTGATCTTAGCTATTGATAGTGATAGATATCAAACCTGTATCTGTGAATTGTACAGTATAAGGCCATGTTTTTACTTTTTCTTACATTCCCACCATGACTTCATCACACACTTCTGGATATATAGAACTCCTACATTGCATAGTTGGAGTTGGCCAACTTTTTGCCAGTAATTTTTAAAATAGCCATCTTACTTTTAGATTCTATATCAGTTAAACTAAGCCAAATTACTATTTGATGTATGTGCTATATGAAAACAGTGATTTGTCCTAATTGTAGCTTCTCATTTTCACATTTAGGCCACTTAAACGAATACTGTTGTAAAGCGTCTTTGAAGATGAAGTTTGATTTTTAAATACAGTAATTTTTCTTTGGAAAAGTTTGTGATTCATTGTAGGGCATGATTTCACTGAAACATAATATTAGAAACTTCATTTTTAATGAAGATTTTTAAATAACTACAAATTGGAAAGAACTCTGATGTCTAGCATAGAAATGGTAAAATTAGTTATGCCTAGTGTACTCACTAGCACAGAATGTCATGCAGGCAAAGATTTTTAATGATTGAAGAAAATGCATACATTATAACATTAAGTGAAGAAGCAAGACAGAGACCTATATATGTAGTATGCTCTTAGCTGTTAAAAACATTTTATTTATTTATTTTTTACCTCTTCATCTGCATAGACCAAAGACAGCTTGTCTTTTTTGTGGTTATCTTTAGATGGTAGAATTATGTGTAATTTAAACTTGTTATTCATTCTTTTCTTTTTTCCCTAAGTTTTCTACAAAAAGAGTCATTACATTTTTGTAATTGAAGTATAGTTGACTTACAGTGTTGTATTAGTTTCTGGTATACAGAAAAGTGATTCAGTTATTCAGTTACATGTATTCATTTCATAGTCTTTTCCATTATAGTTTATTACAGGATGTTGAATATAGTTCCCTGTGCTATACAGTAGGACCATTGTTTACCTGTTTTATATAGTTCATATCTGCTAATCCCAAACTCCTAATTTATCCACCCCCTGCCCTGCCCTTTCCCCTTTGGTAACCATAAGTTTGTAATTGAAGATAGAAATTCTGATATGCATGACCTTGACTCATTTGTAAAATGCTCAAACATACACACACAGTTCACTTTTGAAACCTTGGGTACAAAATATTTTATATTTTTATATTTTATATCAATTAAAAATGTATCCTGTTTTCTTCTAGGCAACCTTAAATATCATTCATAGTGTTGTTCTCTCAGTTCTTGACAAAAACCAAAGGACTAGAGAATTGGAAGAGATTTCACAACAGAAAAATGCTGCAAAAGATAATTCACTAGACACAGAAGTGGCTTATTTAATCCATGAAGGCATGTTTATAAGTGATGCATTCAGTGAGAGTGAATTAACACCTATAGCCATAGATTCTACCTCTCAAAGAAATGCATCTCCAAATAGTGAGCCCTGCAGCAGTGATTCTGTATCTGAACCAGAATGTACTACTGATTCTTCATCCAGCAAAGAGCAGATATCATCATCTGTTACTCCAGGAGCTGTGGATATTATGTGAGTATGGTGACTGTTGCCAGATTAACAAGACTTTGAGTCATCTTATTAATGGTTTAAATAAAACTGATTCTTCAGTTTATTGAAAAACCGTGTATACTTTGGTCTTTTGGAATTTAACAAAAATAAATAAATTTTATGAAACATATATATTTTTGAAAATTTATGGAAGGTAAGGAGGTGTGTTTTGGAAATAATTGAGAATTATAGAATTTTAAGTCTGTAAAGAAATGATTTAATTAAATGCCCCCAATTTGGAGAGTTTAGATGGCTTATTTAAAGTCATTAGTGGCAGAACCTGTCCTGGAACTCAGGTCAGTATTTCCTTGGTTATGTTTCTTTCTTTTACTGTATCACCTTTGTATTTTGTATATAGTAAAGATGTATTTGGTTTACAGTTTTCAGTTGTTTAAAGGCATGAGTTTCCAGGTGGGTCACACTGTCTTTTTAATATTACTTTTTAAAACTTATTTTGAAATAATTTCAGATTTACAGAAAAGTTGCCAGAATTATTTTTTAAAAAAGCCTCTAGTATATCCTTCACCTTGCTTCCTCAGTTAAGTCTATATCACATTGCCCTCTTTCTCCCTTTCTCTCTTTTCATCTCTCCTTTGTCTCTCATGTTAAAATTTTTACTCAGTCATTTGACAGTAGATTTCAGACTTGATGTCCCAAATACTTCAGCATATATTTCCTAAATACAATAACACTTTCTAACAACTGCAGTATCCTAGTGAAAATTAAGAGAACACTGATCCATTATTACCATCTAATCCGTACACCCCATTAAGTGTTTTGAATAGAACAAAAGCAAAATAAAACCAATACAATCTTTTTGGTCCAAGAACATCATTTATATTTTGTAATTATTAAGAGTAATAGCAACTCAGTATTTTTGTTCATTTTGATATAAGTCAGATTATGGCCTAGGAGCTTATAAAGATTGCAGTTATAGTGTGGAGTCAACTATAACATCTCCTCTCCCTCTATCAATCAAGCAAACCCTGAACTACCTATAAATAAAAATATTTTTTTCTCTGTTTAGGCTTATATTTTCACATATATTGGTTACGGTTCAGTCTAAAACTGCTGTTAAAAGAGATGTTAAAACATTTATAGTTTAAGCAATGTATTAATAGAAATTTTGTTTCTCTCCTGTAACTGTTAAGAGATAGGAAATTTTTTCCAGAGCTGAGAACGTAAATCCACCATCTCATTTTGTGGCTTCTACCTGTGCCTTAGGAGGCTGCTCCAATTTTATCATCTCATTTCCATCTGTAGTAGCAAGAAGGAGAGGACAAAGGCTGAGACTCTCCCTACTTTTTTGTTTTGACTTTTTAGTTGGAATGTAATGCATAAATAGGGGAATGCACCAGTTATAACATTCAGCTCAATTTATTGTAACAAAATGAACATGCTGGTGTAATCACCACCCAAGAGACAGACATTACCAGCTCTTTTGAAGCACGCTATGGCCACTGTGCTTTCACTTTTTCCCAAAGGAAACCATTAAAACTATTGATTTTTCCAGGTTTTTAACTTTTATATAAATGGAACCATTGAATTATGGTCTTTAGTCTCTGATTTCTTTCATTTCCCATTATATTTGTGATATTTTTCTAAATTGTTGCATATAGCAGTTTATTTGTATATAGATGTTCCACTTTCTGACTGCACAACAGTGAATTTATCATTCTGCTGTTGATGAAGTTTGGATTATTTTCAGTTTGTTGTGACTATTCTTGTAGATGTCTTTGGTGTACATGTCATAAGTATTTCTGTTGACTATATACCTAAGAATGAGTAAGTATGTGAATAGTCAATTTAACTAAAGCCAAATAATTTCCCAAAGTGATTATACTCCTTTACAATCCTGTCAGTTGTGTGGAAGCATTCCTGTCTCTCCACATCTTCATTCATCTTGGTGTTGTCAGTCGTTCACATGTCAGTAAAACATTTTGGTATGTCACAGGTGTAATACTTTAAATTTTTATTTCCCTGATGATTGTAAGAGGACACTTTTCATATATTTACTGGCTGTTTGAATATCCTCTTGTGAAGGGCCTATAAATCCTTTGCCCACTTCTCTCTTGGTTTGCCTTTTATTTCTTACTGATTATGGGAGTTCTTTATGTAGTCTCAACACAGCCCTTTGTCAGTTGTTCCATGATGCAAATACCTTCTTCCACTCTGTGGGTTGGCTTTTCACTTTTTTACTGGGGTCTCTTGTGAACAAGAGTTCTTGACTTTAATATAATCTTATGATTCATTCTTTCCTTTAATGGTTTATGTTTTTTTGTGTGTGTCCTATTGAAGAAAATCTTTCACTACCGTAAGACTTTGATGACATTCTCTTGCTTTTTTCTGGAAGATTTGTTGATGTCCCTTGCACATTTAGATCCACAGTGTATCTTAAATTGATTTTTGTGTGTTGTGTGAAGTTATTTTCTTTTTTCCCATGTAGATATCTTTTTGACCTCACACCATTTATTGAAAAGACTGTCTTACCCATTGCTATATAGTACCACTCTTGCCTTAAATTAAATATTCATATATAAATGAGTCTGTTTCTAGACTGTTTTGTTTAGTTGTCTTTCTTCACACCAGTACCATTTTATATTAGTTGTGATACCTTTTTAATTAGCCTTAATATCTGATAATTTCTCTTACCTTTTATTGTTCTCCCAAGATGCCTTAGATGTTACAAATCTGTATATATTTTAGCTTCGTTAGCTCTCTTGTTATTATCACATAAACTTGTCCATATTTTTCCTTTCTATTTAAGAGCACAATCCAGAATTTGCAATCCCACATTCTAGTGGCTAGAATATTTTCACATGTCTATATCTAGCTGTAAGAGAGGCTTGAGAAATAGTGTACAGCTTGTTGGCTATTTGATAGCTAAAATGGTTACTGTGGCAGAAGAGAGAAGAGATATTAAAAGATAGCTGGAAAATGTGCCTGTACTATTTGAGATTCCTTTAAATCAAATGCAGTCTCAGATTTTAACCCACCCCTCCCACCTCCATTGTGGCTCGCTATGCACTTCAGAGCTTCTCTGGCTTTCCACAATGACATGCTCCCATAGCATGATTACAGAGCATTTATAAATTGCTGCTTCTGTGTTTCATAGGTACATAAACGTCTGGAAACTCCCCACTTTCCATTGCCAAAGGGGCAATGGATTGATTGAATGTATTTATACATTTAACCCTAACTAGTTCTTCCCTGTGTCAGGTGTTTTTGCAGTATATAATTGTGTCACAGATACAGTACATGCAGAAATGATGTCTGATTTTTGTATCTTTGTTAGTGGTAGATTTTCTTTGTTTTCTTACATTAGCAAAATAACCTACAGCTTTGTAAGTTTATTGCAATGTAAATACCGACACAAAAGAGTAAATAATCTCCCAGACAGGAAATGGGAAAGAAAAAATAATGGATAGGATTAGAAAGTAGTATAGATTTTTAAAAATTTTTTATTTTAAATTGTGGTTAAAAAAACACATGCAGTTTATCATCCTAGCCATTTGTAAGTGCACAGTTCAGTAGTGGTAAATGTATTCACATAGTTGTACAACCAGTCTCGAGATCTTTTTCTTCTTGCAAATCTGAAACCCTGTGCACATTAAACAGTAACTCCCCATATCCTCCCCTACCAATTCCCTGGCAACTACCCTTTTACTTTGTATCTCTATTAGTTCAGTGACTCTAAGTACTTCATATAAGTGGAATCATACACTGTTTGTCCTTTTGTCTTATCTTGTTTAGCATAATGTCTTTACGGGTGTCCCAGGTGGCGCTAGTGGTAAAGATCCCACCAGATAATGTAGGAGACTCAGGTTCGATCCCTGGGTAGGGACTATCCCCTCGAGGAGGAAATGGCAATCCACTCTAGTATTCTTGCCTGGAGAATCCTGGGACAGAGTAACCTGGCGGCGTATAGTCCATTGGGTCCCAAAGAGTCGGACAGGACTGAGTGACTAAGCACAGAGTTGTCTTTAAGTTTCATCTATGTTGTAGCATGTCAGAATTTCCTTCTTTTTTTGAGGCCGAATGATATTCCATTGTAGGTATATACCACATTTTACCTATTTATCTGTCAGTGGACTCTTGGATTGCTTCCATCCCTTGGCTGTTCTAAATAGTGCCACTGTGAACATGAGTGTGCAAATACCTCTTTGAGATCCTGCTTTCAACTCTTTTGTATATGTAACCAGACACTGGTTCATGTTTGTGAGCAGTTTTTTGTTTTTTTGTTTTTCCTGTTAACAGTAAAGAGGTCCAATTAGACTTAAAATTTTAAAAATCTTTTTTAAAAGCAAAATTATAAATAATCAAATAAATTAATTTATGAAGCTCAAACTTCCCAGCTTTATGGGAGGTGGTACTGAAATAGCACTTGGGCTGTTTATAGGAGTAAATGTTGGAATAGAGGAAGCTTCAGTTCAGTTCAGTCACTCAGTCGTGTCTGACTCTTTGCAACTCCATGAATCTCAGCATTCCAGGCCTCCCTGTCCATCACCAATTCTCGGAGTTTATTCAAACTCATGTCCATCGAGTCGGTGATGCCATCCAGCCATCTCATCTTCTGTCGTCCCCTTCTCCTCCTGCCCCCAATCCCTCCCAGCATCAGGGTCTTTTCCAGTGAGTCAACTCTTCTCATGAGGTGGCCAAAGTACTGGAGTTTCAGCTTCAGCATCAGTCCTTCCAATGAACACCCAGGACTGATCTCCTTTAGGATGGACTGGTTGGATCTCCTTGCAGTCCAAGGGACTCTCAAGAGTCTTCTCCAACACCACAGTTCAAAAGCATCAATTTTTCGGCACTCAGCTTTCTTCACAGTCCAACTCTCACATCCATACATGACCACTGGAAAAACCATAGCCTTGACTAGACAGACCTTTGTTGGCAAAGTAATGTCTCTGCTTTTTAGTATGCTGTCTAGGTTGGTCATAACTTTCCTTCCAAGGAGTAAGTGTCCTTTAATTTCATGGCTGCAGTCATCATCTGCAGTGATTTTGGAGCTGCCAAAAATAAAGGCAGCCACTGTTTCCACTGTTTCCCCATCTATTTGCCATGAAGTGATGGGACCAGATGCCATGATCTTGGTTTTCTGAATGTTGAGCTTTAAGCCAACTTTTTCACTTTCCTCTTTCACTTTCATCAAGAGGCTTTTTAGTTCCTCTTCACTTTCTGCCATAGCTTAGCAGGTTAGAAATAGAATTAGACTAATTCTGGGTTCTAGTCTCACGCTTTCAACCTTGTGACCTTGGGTAGATCACTTAAACTTTCAAAATTTAGTATCCTCATCTGTTAAGTAGGAGTTTGTCTGCCTCAGAGTGTGAGAGCCAAGTAAGATACTGTATTTGAAAGTGTTTTAAAAATATTGATCCCTCTATTATTTTAAGCACTAGTAAATAAACTTTATGACATAACTTTAAAGGATAGCAGATAACAGCTTTCTTCAATACCTTAACCCAGTAGTTTGCCTCAAATTAATAGACATCACTTCCTCTTTGAAATGTCTTTGAAAGTTGTCGTTCTCTGGTCACTAGGTCGTGTCTGACTCTCTTACAACCCCATGGGCAGTAGCCTGTCAGGCTTCTCTGTCCAAGGTATTTCCCAGGCGAGGATACTGGAGTGGGTTGACATTTCCTTCTCCATGGGATCTTCCCAATCCAGGGAACAAACTCACGTCTCCTGCATTGATAGACAGATTCTTTACTGCTGAGCCACCAGGTAGAAAAATTATGCTAAGACACTTCACTTTAACACTAAGCTGAATTTTTGGCACAAAATCCGTGGTCTTTATACATGCTCTAGGGGGGGCGGGAAATGCATAAAAAGACAAAAAGTCTTTACATTTCTTCCTCAAAATTGGAATAAATGCATTACATATTATATATACTCCTATTTAATTTTAATTTCCTTAAGAAAACATATTCCCTCCAGTGTCTAGTACTTAAATACAATAAGTGCTCAAGAAATACTAGTTCAGTTGATCTGTCAATTCATAATTAGAATTCATAACTTATAATTCATAATTATAAGTAAAAAGCAGGCCTGTTTGTTCCTTCCTTCCATTTCTTTCCTCTTCCTTCCACTATGTCATCCTGGGCAACCTGTGCACAGCCTGCCATAGATAGAACCTTGTACCTAATGTTTTGTTTTGTTTGTTTGTTTTTTGCTATAGTTTTTGCAGAATTTCCAGAGTCTGAATTAAGTATTAAAAACACTACAACAGAGAGAGAAGATTATTCAAGATTAGGGAGAAATTTATTTGTACTATCTGAACTTGCTTATATGATGCCCTGCCACAAAATTAAAACTGTGTGATACATCAAAACAGAATTTTCCCTTAAATGTAAATTTTACAGCTTTTTGTTTTTTACTGGTGTGTCATCTGTGGAGATCAGTGTGTTTACAACTTTTCTTGACTTAATCTCTTTTTGTCATTTTCAGGGTCAATGAAGATGTGAAATTAACTGACTTAGAGCTAGGAAAGCTGGCAAATAATATCCAGGAGTTATTATATAGTGCCTCAGATATATGCCATGATCGAGCCGTCAAATTTCTCATGTCAAGAGCTAAGGTTATTTGTTTTGATAAAGTTTAGATATTTTTTTACATAGTAAAATTACTTTGAAAATCTAGAATATATCCTTGCTTGTATCCCTATATTCTGCATAACGCATACTATATTTTTAACACTTAATAAGGTACTGGTGTGGTCTATTAGGGAGGTGCTGAAATGCAAAATAATCCAAATAAAAGAAATAGTAAAACTTAAACTTGAATTTCAAATAAATGATTAAAAGACTTAACTCAATAATTATTTGAAATTAACATGCTATTTTTATACATATATATGTGTATTATTGACCAAATAATGTAGTTGTTCTCCAGTATTATGAAAATTGTGTAGTATGACCTGAATTTATTTGAGTTACTTTATCTTAAAGGGATCAAAATAAAATTTAGACATCTTAAACTTTTAATGCTTGATTTCTGGGACTAAAGTATTGGGGAAATTTCATTAAAAATTATATTAAAATAATTTTTAGGAATTAGTATAAATATTATAAAATAATTAATATTAATGTTGTTTAAGTTGGTTTTATAGCTATTCCATATTTTGTATTATACTAACTCATGAATATTGTTATCCTTAAAATTTAGGATGGTTTTCTTGAGAAGCTAAATTCCACGGAATTCATATCACTTTCCAGATTAATGGAAACATTCATTTTAGAAACTGAACAGATATGTGGAAGAAAAAGCATGTCATTACTTGGAGCACTTCAGAGCCAAGCAAATAAATTTGTAAATAGGTTTCATGAAGAGAGAAAAACCAAACTCAGGTATTATTACCATGTCCATTCTGCTCATTTATTCCCCCTTTACTTTATAAAACACGGTTATATTTAAAAGATGAAACTTCATTGATTGGCCAATTAAGACCCCTGACAGTTGTTTTTCTTTTAAATTATAGACATTGTGTAATTAAATCACCATTTCTTGGCTTTTGAAAGTGGAGTTAGAATGTTTGTTTCTGTGAAAGTACTTATCCTGATAGATTGACTTTTGGTTTCCCACTCGAAGTTAATTATGTTTTACCATTCTTCTTGACTAGGCTAAGAGATATAAAAAGGGAAATATTTCCTGAAACTATTTATACTATTTATGAATGACCTCAGTTTATTAAGCTGCTCAGCACTTTTTAAAAGTCTCACGTACTAGCAACAGCTAATGACCGTTACTGTTTAGAAAGTCAAATGCCTTGTATTGCATGGGCTCTACTTGAATTTAACTAAGATACATGTAGTCTTAATTATATAAATCTTAAGTACTCACTTGGCTTTTCCTTTTCTTTTTACCCTAGGAGATAGGGTTGAAATATTATTAAAGTTTATCTTTCTTTTTACTTTTGAATAGCCTTCTCTTAGACAATGAACGCTGGAAGCAAGCTGATGTTCCTGCAGAATTTCAGGATCTTGTTGATTCTATATCAGATGGAAAGATTGCTTTACCTGAAAAAAAATCAGGGGGTATGTGTACTCTTTCACACATTCTGTTTCAGTTTTATATTGTTTTTTTCATTTTGTAAGAGTGCTTAATATTTTTTTTAATTGATAGTACCTGTTGGAAACCTTAGAACTCATATTCCCAGCTTAGTTAGTAAGTAGTTGACTTGAAAAGTATTTGGCAATTTATAATACTTTTAAATACTTACTGAATATTAACCATATTCCAAACATTGGACCAAGCGCTTTACATGCATTTATTCTCCCAACAACCTATGATAAAGATACTATTTTTACCTTGTTTAATATTGAAGAGGCATGAGGCTTCCAGGGGTTAAGGAATTTGGTACAAATGAAGATCTGTGATTTGAAACCAACTTTATGTAATTTCATAGCTGTGTTCTTAATCACTATACTATATTGTTTAGAGAATATGTATTATACTGGTAAACTTATATGTGTCAGATATTGAGACGTAGGTAAGAGGTATAATTTTACTTTAAAAGGGCTAAGTCTAATGAAAAATATATTTATTAGCAATCATAAGTAATGTAGTAGTGATATGATAGAGAAAACCAAAATGTAAAGAACCATGGAAAAAGAAAACTGTGAAGAAGACTACAAAGGAAGGGCAGGGAGGCAGGACAATCTAGAAGACAAAAGTTAAAAAATTAGAGTTTCAAGAAGAAAATTGTCATTGGTATTAAATATCAATCAGGTTTCTTGTGAAAGATACACAATAGCTAGAAATATTTTTATATGTCAGTTAAAGTGTAATACCAGGATGTGTTGTAGTTATGAAGTTCTTGAATGTTTTTAATGAAGGAAGCAGTTGCATTTTCAGTTTTTATGCATTTAATGAAAGTTTAATAGTTTTACATAGAAATATTTTTAAATTGTATACTGTACCATAAAATGCAGCTGTATTGCAAGAGAAAGACTGATAGGGACCTTTGATAGGAGATAATTTGCAGTCTTTTTAATTCAGGGGAGTGATAGAGCCAGATTGTAGTTCATTGCTGAGTAATTCAAAAGGTAAGGAAGGGTAGACAAGTGTAAGGTACCTTTTCAAACAGGCCTTTCAAGTTTGGCTCCGAAGGGAAAGTAAATGATGAAGTGGCAGCTAGAGACACAAGAGCTATTAGAGAGACTATTACCTTTAAATTCACTTAGGGAATTGAGAGAAGAGTCTTAAGATAAGAGAAACTGAATTATATGTTTATGCTTAATAGAAAGAGGAAGAAGGTTGATTTAAAATAAAAGTGACATGAAGTGATTGTAGGGGTAGGACCCCTGGAATTGAATCTACAGTTCAAGAGAGGGGCTCCCTCTGCCCACTGTAATGAGAGGGGGTGAAGAACAGGTGAAAATTAGAGTAATTCAAATATAGTAGAGGGAGAAATTGAAGAAATCGAGTAAATTTCTGTTGTTTAGTGACCATTTTTAGTAGATAACAATGTTGGGTGGTGGTCACAATTTTTAAATTGATTGTATGATTTTAGCAAAGAAAGTGTTTATGTGGAAAAGACTGAAAGAAAAATAAGACACTCTGATCATCCTAAATCACAAACTTAAAATTATAGGACCTATTACCCATCTGTTCTTTCAAGCTGTATTTGATTGACTTTTCCACTGTGTGAGGTGTTATGCTAGATGACTGAGACATGTCTTATCCCTAGAGAGCTCATACTCTTGGAGTTCACTATCCTGAACACATTCTAGTTTTGAATTAAAATCATAACTCTAAAAGTGATTTAATTTATCATGTGTTTTCCCCACAGAGTGAACTATTTATTTTCACTTCCTCTTTGTAGGATACGGACAGTAGAAAGTTTCTCTTACAAACCCTGCTCTGTCTTTTGTTTTTCTCTGACCAGGAAGAAAGTATATGCTATTAGAAATTCATTAATATTTTACTAGTTCATGCAAAGTTAAGGATCCTGGGTTATATTCATTCACCTATCATCCATTTATTCAGTTACTAGCTACTTAGCAAGGCATTGGGGAGATGAAGTTTAATGGATAGCAGTAAATGTTAATTTAGTGCTTACTGATGCTAGACAGTTTGTTCTAGCACTTTAGATTGTTATCTCATTTACAGGTCCATGAGCTGTAGTATTCCCATTTAACAGATATGAAAACTGAGGCACAAAGAGGTTAAGCAACATACCTAAGGTTACATGGCTAGAAAGTGGTAGAGCTGGGATCCAACTGCAGGCAGACTGATGTTAGGGCCCTTTTTTAAGTACTGTGCTAAGTCACTTCTCTGCAGTATTGAGTGTTGGTTAAGATACAACCCCAGTCCTTAAGAAACTTTAATCTGACATATAGAGTGAATTGTGATTAGAAATTATATCACACTGAATTTCTTTACTTGAAAGAAATGAGGATGTAGATATTTAATGTCTTAGAACAAAGGGGCTTGAAACTTACAGAATCATTTTGACTTACTTGCCCATGGTACTCTGTTTAATTGGCTGATTCAAGAGAGTAATTCAGTCCACTGTTCTTTTCACTTCAACATACTGAATTTTGTTTATTAATGATAAAAAATACCATGTGCTGAAAATAAAGTAACTTTTGGATAAAGATCATAAAAAATAAATATATAATCTCTCCACCGAATTTAGGTATTAACTTGTATTCTAAAGATTATAATAAAGAAAACCAGTTGAAATGCTAGTTATGCCTTTCCAGACTAATAACACTCTTCTTTTACTTCTTATCAGTCATCTGCCATGTACCAGACCTAGAGGATAGACAGTTTGTAAGCATTATGTCTTTCTCTGACAACTACCCTTAAAGATAGATATCGTTGTCTATGTTTAATGGATACAGATACCGAGACTCAAAAGAAGTAATTGGTTCGAAGTCATTTATCCAGTAATTGGTGATACTGGAACTCAAATTCAGATTTATCTGATTCCAAATCCAATATACTTTACTAACCTTGTGCTAAATTGTTTTCCAAGAAGTAGATTTATTTGCAAAAATGAGGTTGTTCCAGGCCTTAGATAGGAACTTTTTTCAGTTTTTTTCCTAGTTTAAATTTTTTATAAAGTATTTTGTTTCATCTTATACCCATGTCTCTTTATTTGCTTTAACTCTCTAGCTACAGAAGATAGAAAACCAGCTGAAGTTCTTACTGTTGAGGGGCAACAGTATGCTGTAGTTGGGTGAGTGACACATTTTTCTTTATTAGTTGAGTCAAGTATTTAAAACATAGGTCTTCTAGTTACCCTTTGATGTGAACTGGAAATTTTAGATTAACAATTGTAAATCTTACAAAGAATTTTAAATAAATTTTATGGATTACTTTTTATTTTGTAGTATTCTGTATCCATTAGAGACTATACTGGCTAAATAAAAAAGGGGTTGGTTGATTTTTCTCATATAACAAGAACTTTGAGGTACATCCAAGGGTGCCACAGTGGCTGTCTGATGTAAATATATCAAGCTCTTTCGCTGTTTTTTTCCTGCAACTTTCTTGGTGTGCAATATGCAGCATATTGAGTTGTGAGCTCTGGAGTCAAACTGCTTAGGTTTGAATCTCAGCAACTCTATTATTTTGTGACTTTGGGCAAGTTACTCTGAGTGCCTCAGTTTCTTTTTTGTAAAACAAAATGTGGGAAATAGTACTTACTGTACTTAGAATTATTGTGAAACAGGCAATTCCTGTAAAGCATCTTGCACAGTTCTAGTTCACCTAACAAGAAGTTGATAGTTAGTGGTAGTTATTTCCATTACCATCATTTGCCATTAGGTCTTTTATTCTTTTACCAATAGCAGTATTTCAAATTCAGGTTAACTAAGAAAAATATAAATCCCAGTGTTGTTTGTCTAGGACTGTATGCCTTTTATTAATAGATACTTAAGATAATATCTTCATATACTTTAGTAACACTTATAATTTAGGTATTTTCATATATATGATCTCATTTGATCTCTCCAATCACACTATGAAATAGACATTTCAGGTATTATTGTTCCCTTTCTATGGTTAAGAGACTTGAAGCTTAGAAGTTTAAGTATTTAATATGAAATTACCCACATGGAGACAGAATTAGAATAAAAATCTAGCTCCCATTATCTATACCAGAATTCTTTTTCACTTTTCTTCTTCGTTTCTTGTCACTAAATGAGTCTTATCTGAAATATCCGTCCCCTCCAGGAAAAATGAGTGATCCTCCCCTTGTAACGGTGTGCCTCTATCATGGCTCTTTCTGCAGTGTATTAGTTATTTATTTGTGTATGTATCTCCTTGGTTATTATCTGAATTCCTCAAAGATGGGGATCATTTACCATTTTAATTTTTCTTGGTACCTAATAAGCACTCAATTAGTGTGAATAGAACTTATGCTTTTTCTCAACCTGTATATTCTCCAAAACTCCAAAGTACAACCATTGTAAGCTAAAACTTCCATTCCTTTCTTTTCTGGAATTCTTTTCCATTTCTGGTAGGACAAAACTTTTTTCAACCTCACTGTAATCTTAGTCCTTCGATCTAGTTGTCATTTCTTTCCTTAATTACCCATTGCAATTGGCCCTCTATATCCATGGGTTCTGCATCCCACTAACCAGCATGTAGATCCCATGGATATAGAGGGAAGACTTTACTATGCCATTTTATATAAAGGACTTGAGCATGCATTGGTTTTGGTATTCATGGGGTATCCTGGAATCAGTCCCCTGTGGCTACTGAGGAAGGACTGTGTCTTGTTACTCTTCCCTTACTTAATGGAAATGGTCCCCTCTAGCTATCTGTCTTTCTTGCTTTTTAAGCCAAAGAGACTACTGCCAAAATGCTCAACTCTCTGGCTAAAAGGGCAGTATTGTATATTCAGTGAGAAGATTACAAAAGATAACAATGGACTCCTGCCCAGTAAAGCAGACTCTAGGATTATACATAGAGAGTAATGTATGGTCTAATAATTTAAGCTGCTATAAAGGCTAGATACTCTCCTCCTTGAAGCACTGCTCTCTCTCTTTCAGACTTTTATAACATTATTTTACATGGATCACTCATTTCTCAGAATCTCATTGAATTTAGATGTCCTGTAATGAATGGCTCTTTCCCTCTTAATTTCAACCTTATTTAACCTCCCAGTAGTGTCTCTTTTCAGCTTGTGGCATATCTTGCTAATGAGCTGATAACTTTCTCATCTTTGGAAAACCTTTTGTGACTTACCAATAAGCTTCTTAGGAGAAGCCACAATTTCTCTTTTATCTCACTAAGAAAATCTAGACTAGGCCCTTCCTTAATTCAACATTTATGATAACCTACATAATCAGAAACACTGCTTAAACTTTTTTCAGTGTTGGCCAAGGATTTTTAAATTGGTCAAGGAATGGGATACCTGCCTTACTGAAGAGACTGACTTATTGCAAGTGTCCACAGAGAGTGATGTGCTCATAGCACAAAATTTAAGGAAGTACCCTTTCTTAGTGTCATGAAAGTGCATGCCCTGCAGTTGCACAACCTTGAAACTGAGTGCCTCCTTAATTTTACACCCTAGAGGTTTTCTGTTACCTTACCCTAGTCCCTACTTGCTCTACTTATAGGTAAAACACATCACTGAACAGTTGCCAGGATCAGTATTGATTTTTGTATGCGAAATCAGTTGGATTTTTCTTGAGTGCCTACTTGTTCATCTCTCTCTCTCTTTTTTTGGGGGGGGGTGTAGAACTGTATTGCTGTTGATAAGAATTATCCTTGAATATTGCCAGTGTGTGGATAATATCCCATCTGTTACTACTGACATGCTCACTCGTCTATCAGACTTATTGAAGGTATGTATGATTTCATTCTTATGGAAAAATAGTTGGAAGAAGTGATACATTAGGATGTGAGTAATCTTCCAACTCTTAGACATTTCAAGGTCATGGTATCTTTAAGACATTAATTTTGTGACATTTGGCTGTGGTTTATTCACAACATGTTATTTGAAGGCCACCTGCTTTCTTCTCACTCAACATTTAGTGATTCCTCATAGAGTTGTTAATGACATTGGAGACAGGAGATGATTTGTTCATTAGGTGCTGAACATGACTGAGGCCACTTAGGTCAAAAAACCTGGACTGGTTTCAAATGTGCATGGAAGGAATTCACTGAACTTTACAAAATTCATCTCACTAAGGTTAGAGATTTTTCTTTAAATCATTCTTTCAGAACCATTGATGTGAAGTGAAACTGTGGTCATAGTTATATTCAGCCATTTCATATTAACAGATATTTTAAACTGCTAGATAGAGAAAAGGCTTTATTTTTTTCAAATACCTAATCTAGCAATTAATTCTATCCCAAAGTTGTCATATTTTAGTCCAGAAAGATTTTGTTATCCTTTTGAAAATAGAAATATCCAATTACAATGACTAAAACAACGAGTTTTATGAATGCAAATTAAAGATTAATTTTTGAACAACTGATTTTTAGAATTTCTCAACTTTTTTCCTACCAGAATGTAAATACAATTATTGGGAAACACCCTTTTTCCTCCCTGTCATTACATAAACAAACCCTAATTACTCCTACTAGAAAAATTCATTTTGTTCTTGAATAGGAGGAAAGAGGAATGTATTACTAGAATTAACACATTGCCAGAATATAAAGTGTAGTTTTTAATAAATTGTTGGTTTTTTCTCTTCCTTCCTTTGTTAGTACTTCAATTCAAGAAGTTGCCAGTTAGTTCTTGGAGCTGGTGCACTGCAAGTTGTTGGACTAAAAACAATAACTACAAAAAATCTGGGTATGAATTCTTGCATTTAATTCACATGCTGAGGCATTTCAGTGATGTCACTATACTTAGGTTTTTATTATATGTGGTGTTTTTGTGCCTCTAACCAAAGGCTCTAAAAGTAGCAGTTCTACTTTACTTTTTTTATGTATTGCCATAATTGAAAAATAACTTCTGGAGAAATGTTGCAAGGAATTTTTAGTCTAATAAATATAAGCTATTAGAAGTTACACTACTGTTAAAAAAATGTTAAAATATGTATTAAGTACATAAGTGTGTATGGGGTAAAAGGTATCAATGTCATGAGAATCAGTTGTTGTCTTAGCTTCTTCATGCCATTCTACCCACAACTTGAGTCCATTGGGAAAATTAGCATAATTCATTACATCATTCAGTACCAAATGATTTTCTTAAACAAAATGAAATATGTTGCTTTCTGGCACTGTGTTCTCCATTTATGTAATAAACGTGGATCTGTAGAAATTGGTTTTTTACATTATTTGATAAGTAATTAAAGTCAGCTAATACCTTTTTTTCCTCCATGATATGTCCATCCCCTGGATCTTCAGCTCTTTCTTCACGCTGTTTGCAGTTAATTGTGCACTACATTCCTGTGATCCGGGCTCATTTTGAAGCTCGACTGCAACCTAAGCAATACAGTATGCTTAGGCATTTTGATCATATCACTAAGGTACCTTTTCATGTATTTTCTACTGGAGTTTCATAAATTTAACTCCTTAATTGTTAAGTATTTTAGATGTGTCCCAGGTCTTTAATGTACAATGTTATTTCTCGTTATAGGACTACCATGACCACATAGCTGAAATATCAGCTAAGCTTGTAGCGATAATGGATAGCTTATTTGACAAGCTGTTATCTAAGGTAATGATTTATGGAAATTATTAAGCTTTGCTTAAAAGCATTGTGAATTTTCACAGTTAGTTCTAACAAGTCAAAATTCTTCAGGATTTAGGGAAAAACTCAAATGTTCAGATCACCCGAATAGTTGATCTTCATTTCCTAAGGGATTTGAGGATAGGGATGAGGAAAGATGATTTCAAAGATAAGAGAGACCCTTTATAGAAGTAATTTTATATTATGAAGAAGATACACAATTTTCAATGCAGCTAATATAAAATTACTTCTGCATTGAAAATTGTGTATCTTCTTCAAAACATATTGTAGTTTGAAAGACTTATAGAGATAGAATTGAGAAAATAAAGATCAAATAGGGGAAAAATTAAATTATTTGTGACAAAGTGTGTTACTTTATTTTTTAGGCTAAAAAACAGAGCCTGAGGTGCTGGGTTATTTCCATCATAGATATTCCGTTTCAGTATTTGTTTCTTATTTGCGTCCCATTCTAAATAGGTTATTAAAAGGAGCACTGTTTTCTAAAGAATTCTTAATTACACGGGGAAAGTATCTTCAGAAAAATGTCACTTAATCAGGCCTAGTCACTTTTGACCTATCTCTCACTCTTTACTTTCCGTAAAATATTCAGTACATGTTTTAGAGAGAAAGCAGAAATCTCATAACTTGAGAGTTTGAAACTTTGTTTAGTTTATACTTTTGCCCCAGAACATTTTTAGAGTAATCTTATAAAGCAAGGCACTTTGATATGCTTTTCCTTCTACTTGGATCCTTCAAATTCTGAGATGGCAAGAGCAGTAGACACATAAAAATTATAAAAAGACAAGATAAATGGTGCCTATTAATACACAAATCTTTGAAGTTGACAATGAGAAAGGAGTGATTAGAAAATAAGATTGCATTTGTTTAATGTTTAGTTCTCAAACATTTTGGTCATAGGACCCCCTTTACATTCTTAAAAATAATTGAGGACCCCCAAATAGCTTTTGTTTATGCAGATATAGCTATCAGTGAATACTATAAAAGAAATTAAAACTAAAAAAATTTAAAACTCATCTAGAAAAATGATACTGATGAACCTGTTTGCAGGGCAATAATAGAGACACAGATGTAGAGAATGGATTTGACACAGTGGGGAAAAGAGAGGGTGGGGCGAATTGAGAGTAGCATTGAAATATATACATTACCATTTGTGAAATCGATAGTTGGTAGGAAGTTGCTATATAGCAGAGGGAGCTCAGCTTGGTGCTCTGTGACGACCTGGGACGGGTGGGACAGGGGTGTTGGGGGAGGCTCAGGAGGAAGGGGATATATGTATGTAGATGGCTGATTCACGTTGTTATATGGCAGAAATCAGCATGACATTGTGGAGAAATTATCCTCCAAATAAAAATAAAATTTTTTAAAAAAAGAATACATAAACACACTCGACTAGACTTCAGAATTACATCACACGTCACCTAAAAGTTTCCAATATTCAATCATGAGAGTCTGAAAGTTAATTATATTAATCTTACTATTACTATGAACATGGTTTTTGCCTCACATATTCCCTGAAAGAGCTGACTCCCAGGAATCTCCAGACTGCACTGTGAGTAACTCTGGCATAGTTAGTAGATAACATATATGCTTTATGCTTCTCCTTTAAGAAACTTAAGGAATTTACAGTTGTGTGCAGACATACCTGTTATGTCCTCTAAGTTTCTAGTTTTGTGTGGAGAAAAATTATTGTTTAGAAATTCTCCATTTTCTTCATGGTTGTGAAATGCAAGCTAAATTCAAAAGCAGCTCCATTCCACCAGTTTCCTTTTTGATATATGACGTTCTTCTGTGTACCAAAAATCAATGAATAATGCATGTAACTACCCTAAGAAGTTTACCATCTAACACAGCAGAGGACTTAACACCTAACAATATAGAGTAAAGTGAAAGTGAAAGTGTTATTCATTCAGTTGAGTCCAACTCTTTGCGACCCCATGAACTGCAGCCTGCCAGGCTCTTCTGTCCATGGAATTCTACAGGCAAGAATACTGGAGTGGGTTGCCATTTCCTACTTCAGGGGATCTTCCTGACCCGGGGATAGAACCCAGATCTCCTGCATTGCAGGAAGATTCTTTATCATCTGAGCCACCAGGGTGATAATATAGAGTAAGGTAAATGTTAAATAGTGAGACAATGAGCTGGGGAATAGAATGAAGCAAATCTAAAAAATGCCGGTATTCTTAAAACCTTTACTTTATTCTATCAACTCATCCAGAGTTTTTGAACAAGAATTGGAATTATGGCTAGACTTTTTCCTATAACAGTTTATTGCATTCTTTTTGGTAAAGAAAAATAATTTATGGACTTCCCATATATTTATCACCTGTATTTAACCATCATTAACATTTTTCTTTTACTGTTAAACTATTTTGTAGTTAATTTGAGGCCCTGTGACATTTCATCCCTAAGTACTTAAGAATATATTTCTAAAAACTTAGGGAGGGATACTTTTTTATATATGACTATATATCATATCTATATCAAACCAGCAAAATTAACAATAATTCCTTATTATCATCTAATACTTATTCCTATTTGAAACTTACCAGTTGTCCTAAGATGTCATTTTACAATAATTTGTTTGAACAAAACTTGCATGATCTACATATTGCATTTGGTTATTATGCCTCTTAAGTCTTTTATAAACTTCAAACACCTCCCTCCCCATTTTGTATGTCTTTTTTTAATGTTAAGAATGTGCCTAGACATTTGCAACTTTGTGTTTTCTTTGCTGTCATCCCCACTGATGACTTTTCCTGTTCCCCTGACATGTTACATTTTCCCTGTATAGCACTCAGTCATGTCCAACTGTTTCCAACCCCATGACTCAAGTCTACCAGGCTCCTCTGTCCCGAAGGATTCTCCTGGCAAGAATACTGGAGTGGGTTGCAATGCCCTGCTCAAGCCGCTCAATCATGTCCAACTCTTTGTGACCCCATGGACTATACAATCCATGAAATTCTCTAGGCCAGAATACAGGAGTGAGTAGCCTTTCTCTTCTCCAGGGGATCTTCCCAACCCAGGAATTGAGCCCAGGTCCCCCACATTGCAGGAGGATTCTTTACCAGCTGAGCCACAAGGGAAGCCCTGTATCCCTGTATATCAAGTCTATATGCCACTCCTGTTCTACTTGCTTCCGTGGGTTTCCCAGGAGTTTGGTCCAGTTTTTAATTCATTCCAAAGTAGCAGAGTGTTTGATTTGGGTTAGTCTCTCAATTTTTAGCTTTTCATTTTCTTATCTGGAATTTTAATTTGGGGAAAGAGGAATAGCATAGTAATAAAATATAGGTTGATTCTAAGAAACTAAGAAGTAAGGGTACCTTTCCTTGGGCAGAATAAAACATTAACATCTGCTGATACTACTGGCTAGACTAATGTTCCAGCCACTATTAATTCATGTTGAGTTAAGTTGTGTTAGGTTAACAGAGATACACAAAAGTGAAAAAATCTTTTATCTGGTCCTCAAATAGTAAAATATCTAGTAGGATAATTACATCAGTAACTATTACAGGAGGTAGATTATATAAAGTATCATAATAAAGTAAGGAAATAATTCAGTGCTGTTGAAGCTTTTAATGTTTTGAAAGACATGGTTGTCAGCTGGGGAATGAGGTCTGGGAAAGCTTTATGGATGAGGCATGCATATAAATTTTGCTTTTCACAATTAGAGTGGGCTTCCCTGGTGGCTTGGGTGGTAAAGAATCCACTTGCTGATGCAGGAGACACAGGTTCAGTCCTTGGGTTGGGAAGATCCCCTGGAGAAGGAGACGGCAACCCACTGCAGTATTCTTGCCCAGGAAATCCCGTGGACAGAGGAGCCTGGCAGGCTACATATGGTTGCAAAAGAGTCGGACATGACTTAGCGACTAAACAACAACCATTAGAGCAGATTAAGTTGAAGCAAAGAGATACACTGAGGTAACAGTGTGAGCAGACATGTTGATTGGAATCATAAGAAGGAAGTTTAGTGTCAGGTTTTGGAGTTAGGTAGATCTAAGTTCAAATTCCATGTTTGTCATGCATGAGCCATTAAAGAACCTTCGGCAAATTCTTAATTTATTTAGGCCTCAGTTTCTATCTCTAAATGGGGATAATAATAAAAATCTCTTAAAGATGTAGTGAGGATTTATGAGATAATATATGTGGAGCACTTTTCTTTTTATCATATCTTTGTATCTGACTAGAGCCAGTTCCAGTAAACATTGACTGCTAATGCCTTTGCTGTTGTTTTTAATAATAACAAATGTAAGTAATTCCATATAGCTAATGTATTAGGGTGGGTAAGCCCAAGAGTAGAGTGGGAGATATGTTGGAAAGATAGTAGAGGGCTTTGACTACCAGTGGAAAGCTAAGCAGTTTAAGTCAGGTTGATGGAGGTATAATTTACATTGAGTAAAATTCATCCAAGTATATAGTTTGATGGATTTTAACGTGCATGGGGCAGTAGAATGACCACAATCAAGATATAGAACAATTCCATCACTGCTAAACATCCTTTAGGGTATTTTTGAAGTTAATCCTTTCCCAATACCCCAAAACCATGACAACCACTGATCTAATTTTCTTCTATTTAGTTTTGCCTTTTCCAGTATGTCTTAAAAATGGAATTATACAGAATTAACATCTTGTCCCAGGTTCCTTTCATTTAGCATAATGCTTTTGAAATTCATGGATGTTACAACGTGTGTTAATATCTTGTTCATTTTTATTACAAAGTAGTATTGATTGAAGTACTACTATTTGTTTATCCATTCATCAATTGACAGATGTTTGGAATCCTCCAGTTTCTGGCTGTTATGAATAATATACATTCATGGACACATCTTCATGTGGGCATGTGTTTTCTTTTGTGTAAATACTTTGAATATATTGATGGTGGCATAGAAATGTAAAACTTTTTTTTTTCTTTTCCATTTATTTTTATTAGTTGGAGGCTAATTACTTTACAATATTGTAGTGGTTTTTGC